AAAAAAAAGTTTTCATCAACGTTGTTGAGGGAAAATCGTTAAGTTTAAGTTTTTGCTATGCTCCTTTAGAGTATGAATGACAGTTGCGTATTGATAGCTCTTCTATAAAACGAGTCTCGATTGAAAGATTGTGCGTTGGAAGTCAAGGAACAGTTACTTAGAAAGTGATTTCTGAAGTTGCAATTATGAAATCGTATGAGTTTGAATATACTATTTTTACCACCAAACTTTGTTTTCAAACTGACGAAAAAACCGTGGTTGAGGAAGATTATGAAAGCAGTCACATTTTAGTTCCCTGTCAAACGGCCCGAAGATTTCGCGCTCTTGGGTATCAGCGCTAGGCCACAGGGTATTCTACTGTGTGGACCTCCGGGATGCGGAAAAACGTTGTTGGCAAAAGCTGTTGCTAATGAGACTGGCATGAATTTCATCAGTGTGAAAGGACCGGAGCTTCTGAACATGGTGAGTGGTTTGTAATTTGACCAAGACCTTAGGGAAAATCATTCATATTTTGTTTTTGCTTCTCTCTTTTTTTTGTTAATTGTAATTATTTTTTTCTTAGCTCTTCGTTGCCCATGATTTTTACGACTTTAGTGGAAATCCCTCCATTATCTATGCTTTGCTGAGTTGACAGCCTTCTCATAAGTTGGAATAGGAAGAATAAGGTCGCTATAGAGCATGGAGCGAGAAGAGGGCGGGCCCAGAGGCGGCTATAATAGGGAAGAAGACAAGACTCGTAAACGCCAAGATATTGCGCATAAAAGGGATCGATATCAGCTGGCTGCCTTTTGGATTTTGTTAGCGCAAAGGTGCATTGGGGACTATTGTTGGAGAAAAGACTCAGAACATTTGTTGAAGGGAAGCAAATTTTTTTAAGTCTTGGAGGACCTGTTGCGAAACAAAAGTTCTTTCATTGTTCCATTGTTACATCTTCCTGTCTGAAGCAACAAGTTGTAATCGAGTAAAGTGCAACACTATAATTCGTATACCTAGAGAAAAAATTGCACAGTTTTATCTTTACAACTTCCATTGAACTCGAAATATATTGTAAATGATGACGTTGTAAATTACAGTATGTTGGCGAGAGCGAACGTGCTGTGCGCACCGTGTTCCAAAGAGCGCGCGATTCATCGCCATGTGTCATATTCTTTGATGAAATCGACGCCTTATGTCCAAAAAGGTCACAAAATGAAGTGAGTTTTTCCATGCATCTCGCAGGTGCAGGGTTTTTCTGTTGTTATTCGTTTAGGATTGATATGTATAAGAATGCCATTTTTAAACTATTTGGAAATGAATTAATTAGAGAATGGCTGTGAGAGGACACTTAATCGCAAACCTTTACATATTCCTTACTGAACCCCATCGTTCCCTTTCAGTCCACTGGTGGTGCCCGACTTGTAAATCAGCTACTCACAGAGATGGATGGCGTTGAGGTGCGAAAGCAGGTTTTCCTCATTGGCGCCACAAACCGGCCAGGTGAGCGGTTAACTTTTTTTGTCCGCAGAAGTCTTTGAATAGAATCCATTCGAATTTTCTGATACATTCTGCAAACATTATAATTTGATGGCTACGTATTGATTTTTGCCGATAATTGAGTAAAGTCTTCCAGATATTGTTGATCCAGCCATCTTGCGCCCAGGTCGTTTGGATAAAATACTGTTTGTCGATTTTCCATCTCCTAGTGACCGAGCGGATATATTGAAAAAGAATACAAAGGTTTGTTTCAGTTCTATTACAGTGCTGGTTGTATATTATCTGTTTTTTTTAATCTAGAGTGTTTTTTATCTCTTCCAAGAGCATCTTTAGTCTAAATTTTAGTCTCAGTTTTTTT